AGTCTTTCCCCTACTGAGGAGTGAATTGCGCAGAGACTCAGAGCTGAAGTGGAAAGGAGGAGGTTGGCGCGGTGATACCACAGACCGACCACAGCTGCTGCAGTGATGGGCACAGCGATGTGACAGCGTCATCTCCCCTTCATCCACCCCTGTTTTCACTGGGTTCATCTGTGGCACAAGCCAGTGTGAGCAACTTGCTAAAGGCCCTTTCCATGTCACCCATAGGGACACGGTGGGCACAGCTTATCCGCATATTCACACTGCAGTGCTCGTCACCGAAATCAATGAGACCTGGGCACGTATTTTGCTAATCCCACATTTTGGAGCCATGAGGAGAGCCAGGCCATGGTCAGTCCTGTGCTGTCCAGAGCCACCTCTCCTTTCCTTTCAAGGGTTCACTGGTTTGCAACTAAGGATACATGGGGTAATGGCTGCAGCCATTGCCTGCCCATTAAAACCACTGCCCGCTGAGGTCACCAACATCCAAATCTAAGGTCTATAAAACTGTTCATAAAGATAAAGCAAAGAGGCAGCTCTTCCCTTTCTATACTCTACTGTATCCATGGGAACAGGTTACAATTCGGTATCTACACAATAGCGATAGACAGAAACCCTGTGGTGCACAGCGGAGAGGTCAGCAGAGCACCCTGGCCATGGCAGGGCATGGGGGGTGGCACCTACCGAGCAATTGGGGTGCTGGGGACACCCCACTCCATGAGGCACAGCTTTAATGTGTCCAGGACAGCTGGGGTGCAGCCAATTTGCAGAAAGAAACCTTAAAGAGCTGACGTGGTCCTCAGGGACAGCAGAGGTGGTGAGCAATCCGGGTGGCTGCAGCAGGGGGAAGGAGACCTCACCAGGCCCTAGCACTGAGTGAGAAAAATGAGGAGAGAAAATGCTGGGGTTTTTTTCTAGTTAGGTGTGAATGTGCATCTGTTGTGGTAGGAAAAAAATTGGAAGTGAATCTCATAAGGTAGGAAAAGAAGAAGAAAATAAATATCTCTCAGCTACTTCTCATTAGTGGAGGAGTATTTACTCAGGTGAATATTTTGCCTGATCACACAGCATCCCCACCACAGACATGCCGGTTCTGCACTGCTAACAAGCTATCAGCAGGGAGGAATAAGATTATTTAATTTCTTAGCACACCTTGAATAGCCCGTGAAGCTAACTCGCATTTGGGAAAATGAATACACAGCCCTGACAAAGAGCATTACTAATGCAACACAAGGCCTGGTGAGCAGAGCACCATGTACCAGAAACCCCCAAACTGTGCAGAGCTCTTTACCATGCCAGGGGGATACTTGGCTGAAACCTACCCTAACACAGTATCGTCAGAGTTGTCTGCTTGAAGCTGATGAAAGGGCACGGATCTTCAGTCCTGTATCCACAGGAGGCACCAGGAAGGTTCATCTGAGGCTTCCCCAGCTGTAGGATTTCCCAGCTGTAGGATTTCCTCTCCCCCACCCACCCAAGCATCAACTCCATGCCATCCTCAGCAGGACCAGGTTGTCCCAAAACACCTACCCAAACCTCACCACAACAGCAACTTCACCAGCAGCCAAAACAGCTCAGTGATGCACTTGGTCTGCATCCCTGCTGGGAGGGAGTTACTGCACACAGGGGGGTTCTGGCCTTACCTTAACCTTCCCAATGGCTCCTCATGTCTACTAATAACATAGGTGCAAAGGGGGCAGCACATTTCAGCTGTACCTATATGTAGATTTATATACACAGAGAGATTTTTTTTCCACTGTGCAAAAAAAAGGCTCTGGAGCCATGAGCTGCTCCAGCAAGAGCTGAGGGAGAACATGACCCAGCACAGCCTCATTATTCCTGGCTACTTAATTACTGTTTGCAATTGATCTTTAATGAACCTCTTACATATATACCTCATGATTCAGTAATGGTTTTCAGGACACTCCTAAATAATGGGCAAATGGAGCCTGTTCCCATCAAACCGGGGACCATGGGAATGCTGTGGGGAAGGGTACAACGAGGAGAGTGTGTCCTGGGGATGGGGAGGGAAATGCTGGCAGAAAGGAGCTTTCATGTCGTGGAAGATTTGGGCCACAAAGAACCTCTCTAGGCTTACAGAAAGGGGATTTAATTAAAAAAAAAAGCCAAACACACAAGGTGAGGGTGGCTCCCAGAAGTTTTCTGAAGTCTCAGGGCACCCCATCTTACTGACCAGCCTCCCCACGAGCTGCCTGGGCTGGGGGCTCGCTCATCTCCCAGGTGCAGATTCTTCAGTGACCATCCATCCCTCCCAGTGCCATGACCTCCGTAGGCTCCCGGGTGTTGGGATGGATGTGTATGCCATGGGGGAGGCCGATGGCAGGGCAAGAAAAAGCTTCAGCCCACTGTGGTCCTGAGCAATGAACTGTGTGTGGCTTGGGCAGCACCGGGTTTTTGTTTAATCCTTAATCCCAGACACCAAGGGTCTGACGCCAGTTACTCATTCATGCAAAACAAGAGATTTTTTTGGATATTTTTTTCTTCGAAGCGCAAACAAATTTCTATGAAGTGTTGGATGAGCAGTTACCTTCCTATGGGCCTGTGAGCATCTTGACTCATCCCATCGGCAACAGAGTTGAGGAGTTTAAGGACATCAGTCTCGTTGGGGTGAAACCTCTAAATGAATTGGTTTAGTTCAGTTTCAACTAAAATTCAGTTTATCCGCAATCTCCACTCTTCCATTTATTACTTGGTGAGCATGAAAACTCCCAGGCTCACAAATGCAGCCGCACGATGACAATCTCCCCATTGAATTAAAATAATTACTTTTCTAATTCGACCCTAGACTCTGCTAAACCTTCTGGGGCCTTGAGGAAGGCGTGAAGTTTTTTTCACGTCTTCTGCTTATGTAGGCAGACATTTTAATTTCTAAAATTAATAATTCTGTATTTAATCAGTAGAAAGGAAAATTCCACTTGGGGACGGGGACGTCTCATGATGCTGCCCAGGATTAACCACACTAAAGGACTCCCTGGCACAGGGGAATGTGGCCATGTGGGACAATAATTTTGGTGATTTCCATCCAAGAAGGACAAAGAACATAGAGGATCCATCAAGGGGAAGATGCAAAGGCTTTGAGGCACCAGAAACCACTACCATCAAGCCCAGCAAACTACATTGGGCTCTGGGAAATGCAAGATCATCGCTTGCGAACTCCAGTGCCTTCTTGGAGCCTAATTCACACCAAATATAGAGATCCCAGTGGAAAATTGATGATTTCTCTGGCTGGGTTGAAAGATGAGGACTGACAAGCTTTGGCACTGGATGGTGGGGCTGGGCTGTGCTTTAATGCTTGAACCTTCCCACCAGCAAACCTGTCATGTACAAACGGGCTTTTAAAATGAGAAAACAAACGCTTGAGGGTAATAAAAAAACTAAGGGCAAATACAACTGTGCCTACTTAAAAATGGCCTGGTTTTAAAACTTAGCAATGAGTAGTCAGTGATGATAGATATACACTAGAGATACGTTACTTGCTTGTCTGAAGGAACCGGAGAGGAAATAATCCCGTTCAAGAGTTGGCTGGATCTACGCTGCACTGAGGTCCCACAGGATGGGCGTCAGAGTCGGTGCAAGTACTGGTGCTGTGCCAGGACCTGGGCCCTACTTTGGAGTAGTTTATAAATGATAGATAATAAATAATAAAAAAGTGATGCAGCATTCATTACATGGTATTATACAAGCGAGGTTAAAAGTCCGTATATTTTTTAATCGCAGTAAGACAAAACAAGCTCAAATATATCAAGAATCCCTGAAGGGTTTTGTTTTGCGGAAAGGAAATTTTCAGAAAGGTTTAAAATAACAAGAACAGAAATAAAGTTTGGGCAAAGCTGTTTCTCCTGTGAGGGCACAACTCGTGGCTTGCGCAGGAGTGCGCGAGGGAAGACGGCTTTTTCCTCCCCTGCCCTTCATTGTCGATCAGGGCGATGCCCTCACCTTGTCAAGGCTTCAGAGACCAAAATGCCAAAGCGCCATTGGAAATTTTAAAACTTAAAAAAACCCTCAAAATAAGGTTCATTCACACACAAAAGAAGCAGCTAAAATACCATATTCTGCAAAAAATGAAATACAAGCCAACTACTTTGTGGACTAGTGCCATTAATTTCAGCTACATCACTTTACACCAGCTTGGGATCTCGCCTTTCCCCAAAATAACTTGCACTTCTGCCCACAATGTCCCCTAAATCCTGTGCCTCACTTTTCCCATGGGACAGTTTTAGGTAGTTTTGCACTCAATGTTGTACTGAAATTCACTCTTCAGAGCTCCAGTCTATGGATGATGGAGGAAATGTGGGTGCTTGAGCACCCAACAGCCCAGACATTCCAGTGCAACACAGGAGATTTGAGCAGCGGTTTGAGAAACAGCCGCCCGTTTATGTCCAAGCCTGCTGAGGTATAGTCAAGAAAGATGGCTATTTCCCTTTACAGCCTGGCTAAAAGTGATATCCAGCAACAAGAGATATCAAACAGTAAATACTAAATCAGGACAAAATTTGTATTTTGTTAACGAGGGCTATTTCTTGGAAATTTGCACAAATCTTTTACGCCTGCTGGCACTTAGGCCAGTAAATCTATAATTAAATGATACAGCCAAATGCACAAACCTTTGCAATCTACCTAAACCAAAAAAATACACTTTTTTCCCCTTATTTCTATGCTATTTTCTTTTTCCTGCTCTCAAGTCCAGCCCTGGATTTATCCCCCAGGCAGAACTGCTGTTTGCTCAGCAGGATGAGCTGAGAGAAGAGGACTTTGGAGAGATTTTTAGTTATGCAGGGAAGAATTGAAAAAAAAACCAGCCCAAAAACAAAGGAAGGAAAAGATCCCAATTCTCTAGGTTACATTCTTGGTTATATAACCAATCTCTCCACTTATATTTACGCTCCTATAAATAGAGAATTGCCCTGAAAGAGTGGCCTAAAAATATAAAATAATGGGGGACAAATGGAGTCAGGACGCGGCGACCGTGGGCGCTTGGGTGGGCGCAGGGTGCGTCGGGGCTCAGCACGGGGACGAGGACATCTGGTCGTAGTCGGGGCACTTGAGCAGAGCGGGGTAGTTACTGTTCATCTGCAGGGACGCCTCGCTGGAGATATCCGAGGGGCTGCGTCCCCGCGCCCAGGCGTCCGGGTGCAAGAACTGCCCCGAGTAGTCGGAGCAGTTGCTGAGGCGGGGGCGGTAGAAGCCGGGGTGAGGTCGGTAGATGTCCTCGGCTGTGTAGCGCTTCATGAACAGGTAAACGGACATCACCCCGGCGCTCTGCAGGGAGAGAGACACGGCCTGACGCCTTCCGCTGCCTTTTCCACCACCACCAGAACAGAACAAAAATATATACTCCTTGTTTTCCCCTGCTGACGATGCACAAGGGCCCCCAAGGACAGTCACTGCCCTGAGCCCCAAGTCCCTGCAGTAAATAATGTGGCACAACCACGTCTCTTCCTCTACATCCATGCTTGGCATCAAATCATGATCAAATAGCCCATCAGTGCTCCAGACTTGGGGTCTGTCCCCACTGTCTGTGTGTCCCACCATACTATATATCTGCTCCCATAGCCTGCCCTTAAACCCCATCTCAGTCCTCTGTTTGCTCACAGCCTCAATGCCCCCCCAGCCGAGAACGGGACACACTCGTTACAGGGATGTGAGGTACCTCTGTGAGAAGGAATGAGATGGCGGAGAAGGCAAAGGACCATCCGTATTTGTAATTGAAGAACGTTTCTGAGTCCTTGGTCCTGTTGAGCATCTCGTCGTTAATGCTGGATATGTAGAGGACCAGCCCCACCACAAGGGACAGACCTGGGGAGAAACCGAGGAGGAAGATGGTGAGAAACGCTTCAGGGATGAAGCTGCTGAAGAAGCTCCTTCCTTTAAGACCTGACTAATAGGTGAAAGTGTGAAAATGTGGAAGTGTGCTTGAAATAACGAGGAAAAGGGGCCCTGAGCTAACCCAGGGCACTCCGTGTCTCACTCAAACCATGACCTGCTCAAGCAAGTCCATGTGCACCGGGTGGGAGCTGGCTTCAAAGCTCGACTGTCACAGCTATTTATTAAACACTAGCACAATACCATGAATAAAACATGCATATGTCTTCTGTAGAAACATCCCAGCTGAGCAGTTTGAAGTTGCAGATCTCTCGCACAACGGATGTGCCATGAGAGGCGTCCTCTCCCCCAGCACCCAGCAGCTGCTCCTGGTGGATGCTTTCCCTGACATCTCCTCACCGCTGTCACAAGTGAGTCCTGCACTGGTTGATTTTGCAATCCTGCAAAGCCCCAGCAGGCTGCAGGGCCAAACCAGGAGCCCCTCTGGGTGATGACTCTGGTGAGGAGCCACCACAGTGGGTTAGGAGAGCACTGGCAGCTACAGAAGCAAACATGCTCCAGGATTTTAATGAGGAAAAATGCTGGCCCATAAAACTCACCTGACAGGATGAAGAATATCCCCGAGACGAAGGCAAGGATGGTCCTGTGAGGCCGAATGTGGCCGATGTTGCTGAGGATGAAGCCGATGAACATGAAGAAGAGACTGACCAAGGGGAAGGGGGTGGCAGAGCGGATCATCTCTGGGGGGACAGGAGCAGAGGAGAGCACTGGTCAACACCCAGTCCAGGTCAAGGGGCTTGGCGGAGTGGGACGGCTGCAGCCCTGCTGCTCTCTGACCACCTTGGGTCCTTCCTTGCTCCTGGTCAATGTGGGTGCCCCTGTCCTGCTCCCCAGCCCCTTTACAAGATGAGTAAAGAGATGACTATGGAAATGTCTGCTTGTGATTGCATTTCTGGGGGTTTCTATGTGAAGTTACACAGGAAAAAAACATCAGAACCTGCATTTTTTTCTAGCTTTGCTGCAAAATTGTTTGCTGAACACCTCTATTTATTAAATCGGAAATGACTACAGAATTCACCATGAGAGCTGTGGCACTCCACCCTTAATTCATCACACTATGTAACACATAAAATTGACTGCTACAGAATAAATACAGCTGCAAATTACGGAGAGGAGACTATAAAGCCAAACACTTCCCTAAACATCAGCGCTGAAGAGCCAGTGACAGGAAATTGTGTGGCTTAGAGCTTCTGAGAGCATCCTGCCATTAGAAAGGGATGTCCCCAGGAGCTTGGGAGCACATCGGGTGATTTACATTGTAAAAAATGCAGTTGCATCCCTGCACGGTAGGAACTGGGGTTTTCTTCAGCAAAGACACAAATGGGATTTCTTGGGGAGATACCTAATGACCCTTTGGTGCTTTGCAGGACGCAAAGGGTAAGACTCCACTTACTGAGGACATTGACCGTGGACTCGGATGTCAGCTGGATGTTCATGGGCATGACGTATTCGATGGTGAAGCACCGGCCACGCTCTTCTCCTGCAGCCAACAGAGACCAAGTCACACCTGCAGTGTGTTTGTCCGTGTATTTTTGGTGGGGGAGTGACTTTAAAATTAACTTCTGTGCATGCATTAAAAAAATAATTTTGTCTTTTAGTGGTGCTTCCATCTTGGGTATCAGTGTTTGGAGCTGAAGAAAGACATCTCTTAACTACCATCTCCCTTGTGCAAAGGATTTCCTTGTACACAAAAGCATCAATCCTGAAGCCAGAGGGTTTAAGGTGACCTAGGGGAGGTAACAGAGCTCCTCACTTCCCGAATTTTTCAAAGCAGTGGCTGAAACTTTGTGACATTTCAGATCGGTCACTTTGAGTTTCCCGTTCCCTTGAGTTTTGTTCAACTCCATCCCCGCAGCCAAATCGCTGCATCAAACTTGGCACAGATGGAGGGAACGGTCCAGCTGACCTGAATCTAAATGTTGCATGGACACAAAGGGAACTTTTGAGCTGCTGCCCAAGGCGCTGTGGCCGTGGTGCTGGGACAGAGCGGGATGGAGGCAGTGGGATCTGGCACGGCAGCAGTGAACTCACCCAAATCCTGATGGAAAGGCACATTTGTCCATCTGACTGACAAAACTGGGCATGGGGTGATGGCATTACTCAGGCTGTGCCTGAGTTTGGAAGCAAAGATGAGCACAGCCTCTAAAAATCCCATTTTCCCTAGCCATTTCCCGCAGTACAACACTGACACCCAGCAAACATCATCTTATGGGGGACATTTTTGGGAGGGAGGCCATACCTGCCAGGAAGCAGACCCTCCAGAGGCCTGAGTGCAGAGACAGCTTGATTTCTGCCGTCTGGTTTTGGGGCTGGACGATGCCCTCCTCCAGGTAGAGCCAGTAGTCGGTGCTGACGGAGATGCCCAGGAGGCCTAGGCCGCAGACGGCGAACACGCTGCTGAGCAGGGTCAGCGCCTTCCTGCTGCAGGCGCTCATCCCCAAAAGCATGGGGGGGCCGAGGCGGCGGCGGCGGGGACGGCTGCTGGGAGAGGGGATGTGGCTGTCAGCACAGAGTTGTCTACGGCTTTTTTGGGGGAATGGATGTGCCAAAGCTTTGCCCTCTTGCCCTTAATTGCTTATTTAGGCCGAGCTGAAATAAGCCATTAAAACAATCTCGGTGGGCCCTGACAGATGGAGAGTTTGAACCAAATCCCACGCGACTGCTGCCCCACACTGGCGCAGGGCTCATGGGTGCTGGAGCAGCTCAGGATGGCTGGGAGCAGCTCAGGATGACCGGGAGCAGCTCATCGGCTCCCGTTTTTTTTTCTGCCGGGGGATTTCCGGT